CAAGATTTCAGAACAGGGAGAAACTCCTTTTCCTGCAGCAGTTTTCAGGTAGCAATCATGATTATGTCCCATTAATTTCAAAAGGCCCTTCAAAGCAGACGCTCCTTCCTGGCATTGCAAGAAGGAAAATAGCACTAAAGTGGTCTTATTTGAAAAGGAAGAACAAGTATTTACTGCAGAAGTGTTTCAGTTCACTGCCGAAGTCTGCTACAAGGTAGCATGAGTGATATACTGCTTTCATTATTCAAGTTAAATAAATCTCCTCCTTTCCAAGCTATTGAATATAAAGTTAGGCTGGCAGAGTGGATTACATTTGATCTATGTACCATGACAAGTACTGAAAATTGTGGGCTTCATTGCTATGTTCACCCACTCCTTCCTGAACAGAAGAAGAAAGTGTCAATACACGGAGCAGCCTTTGCTCTGCTCCTTCAGCACAAGAAATCACAAAGCTGCTCTGGAGATGGAATGAGTATACAGTCTGACACCATGGAAACAAAGAGAAACTCCTTTTAACTCCCTCAGCCATCCTTCAGGGTGTGGCACCAGACAAAATTTTTCCTATTCATGAACATTTTTTTATTTGCATCTATCACAGTTCATGACAGGCTTGATTAATGCTAACCCAGCCTTATTTTTTTTATTATTTATAAGCCTATGGATGAAATCTTAATCACTGAGGAAGCTATCTGATTCAACCTGGTTTCTGCATCATTTGAAAATGAAAGTATTTAAATGTGCTCTAATTGCCTCAGAAGAAGGAGAGGCTGAGTTTCCAGCATTGCTCAGCAGATGGGCACCTCTGATATCAACCCGCAGTCTCTACTCTGGGGTTCTCTCACACAGGCTGGGAGGCTGATAAGCCTGCAAGAAACACTTGGATAATGCTGAGGAGATTCTGCTCGTTACTGGGGTTTCTCTTACCCCTTCATCACAGCCTGAGAGCCCACCCACACCCCACCCAGGCACAATCAAGCCACCACTGGAAAAGAAAAAGCTGAAAAGTGAAACCCCCCCAGTTTCCAATCACTGCTCAAAAGTACAACGCGTTGTTTATTTCATAACCTGCTTCATCTGTGGACTTGTCTTCAGCAGAACCAGGAAGGCTCCCCATGCAAACAAAACCCTTAAGTGCACTCACTCTTCAATTCAGCATTTTGGCTCTAGCAAGAGCCAACCTTGTTTTATGCCTTCACTCCAGCCCCAGAGTTGTCACCAGAACGGTCACGTAAATCAGAAACCAAAGATTTGAGTTTCTAACAAGTTTCATCAAGAAGTTTAGAAACAAAACCACAATCATGAAGGAAAGTTTTATTTAACTTGTAGTGCCCACATCCTAAGACTAAATGTATTTTTAAAAAAATAATTAAAAGTGAGCTGCAAAGAAAAAGAAGTAAAACAAGGACAGATTTTTACACCTTTAGGAAATCAAGGAAAAACAGGCACAAATTTACATTCATTAGTTTCAAATATGGCAAAGGAATGTTCTACTGAAGAGGAGTAAATAAAATCTCACTTTCCCACCTCCTTGTATGAGACAGCACATGTCATGCTCTTCAAAGCCAGACTGATCTTGCTGATACAAGGCAGATTTTTCCTCATATTTTTTTTATTAATGTATTTGTATTTTAAAGATCATAAAGACCCTCCTAGAGCCATTTGGTGCAGTCTCTACATACATTCTAAAGTACTGAGTATGTACTTTAACCACTGGAGCAGCTTGTTACAACCTCCACATAAAAACTGAAAGTCATGCATATTTGAAATTCTGGTTAAGCATCAGTAACTATTGAAGGATTTTATTTCATGGTTGCTAAGCCACTTTAAATCCCCATTACTGTTAAAATCTTGCAAGTGACAGCCCAGAACGGTTTAACCCCTTGAGAATAAGGGTTCATTATCAAAGCAAATATCTTATCTCTAGAGATACTACCAGAGTACATATCTCAACTGCTTCTAATACTGAAGAATTTCCTTTGCTAAACACAATAGGCTGGGGAAATAAGGACTTTCTAGTGATGTCTTAGGAAGCCAGAGGGTAGGAAGTTGTGCCATCATAACCTTTTACTCTACCCTGCAAAACAGACGAGTATGAGGTGGCTACCATTTCAGCCAAGCCCTGTGCTGGATGGGGTCAGTGGGAGAAGCCTGAGCCCCCCGTCTTGGGGCTACAGTCAAAGGAGCTGAAAGCAGCAGGTCACTGACCAGCACCCCTGAGAGCTCAGGGAGAGCTTCTTCCACAGGAGCAGCTCCTCTGATCTGAACAGTACCCTCCAGAGGCCTTTCCTCTCCAGATACACTGGGGTTGGGGAGGGAGAAAGAGCAGCAATGAAAGAGCTGGAGGGGGAGAGTAGGGAAGTTTAACATCCTCCCCAGTAAAGAGCACATCAGTTTATCTCAGCAGACATCCTTGGCTTGTGCAGGAGCAACTTAGTCCTGGCAGGTGAAGGGGGAGAACTCAACCTTCAAGAAGATGTGGGTGTTCTTAAAGAAGATCCCTCTCTACCTTCACTTGGACGGTGACCTTGCTTGCACTAAGGGCTAAGGAAAAGCATCAAGCTGTAATAAAACTGTCTTTCTCCCATCTGTTTGATGAGGAATTTACAATTTCTTAGCTTAAAAAAACTGCAGTGCAAGTTAAGTATTTGCTTCATGGGGACCCTGTCTCAGTATCGTCTCCTGCAAGGATGCAAAAAGACCCAGTATTCTCTGTACACACAGCAGGGCCAGTGCCCCAAGCACTGAGGCCAGAAGACACTCAAAGTAGTAAATAAATACACATTAAACAACTCTAAAAATGAGAAATTAACAGCACTGATTGTTTAGAATTACAATCCACCTTATTACAATAATCTTCACATTTTAGCATCTTTTTAACCACTATGCAACTGCAGAAGTCACTCTCTCTTCTAAACCAGCCATACAGAAGCACAAAGCACTATGAACATTTGTGTTTGGCAAAGTAACTTGCTTTCAGAACTTAACATACTTTTGAATCACAGTTCACAGGTAGCAGGTGTGTCCTGCTAACACAACATCCTCTGTTTCTGCTCTCACTGCATCCTGCCACCAGCAAGACACCTCAGGGATCCTTCCAGGTTTCAACTGCTCTCTCTGAAATCCTTCTCATACCAGTTTCCTCCGTGCAGCCTCACTGGGGTCAGCTGCTCCTCACTCCTGCCTCAGCCCTCTTGTCTTTATTGCATTCATCTGGTCTTCAGGCTAAGCCACATCAGTCTGATGTGCCTACAGGGCAAAAGATGTTACGTGCTTTACATCTCAGGAGCATTGAGCTACTCCTTTTACATTCTCCTTTTTACTTCTTCCCTGCCTACTTCCTTCTTGCTTTCACCAGCAAGATACAACCCTAGATATTTTAGATAACAATATCAGATATATTAGATATACAACATTTTCAACATTAGATAACTAAAGAAAAAGAAAGAAGATTTTTCATTCTCCAAGCCCATGCACTGAATTTCCACTCACATGGAAACTCCAGATTCCTTTTTTTTCCCTAGCAAAAATATAGCTAGATAAGACTTAAGCATTTTACCTGGAAATGAGACAAGGGGTAACTATCAGCTTGGAGAAAAAACAGTGAATCCTGTGTTTCTGTGAAAGCCCATTTTCTTCTCCTCCCTAGTCTGAAGCTTGAAGCTGTAAGTGGACTAAAGCAGGAGGAAGCACAGGCTGGACCCTCAACCTTCATCTGTGGCCTTGTGCTCACAGAGGACTCTGCAAACCACTGCAGACCTCACACAGGAGCCAGGACAGCCTCCAGTCCAGCGTGCCCCACTGCCACCACCCTGCACTAGTGGCCATCTGGGCACGTGTCCCAAAGCAGCCAGATTTTGGGTGCTGGCTGTGCAGTCAGGACTGTATCCTTTGAGAAGAGCCTGTCCCAGCACCACAAGCTCATACGTACACACACATCTGATCTACACCCAAACCTACCCAATGTTTCTTAGGACTGACAGACACTTAGGAGTGGTTTCCTCTCTAGCAATGTGATCCCAGCTTTCCAGCTACCTGCACACATGACCCCTTTCCTGCACCACATGCAACACCTACATCTCTCACTACCTTGTGCAGAACAGGACCAGGCAACGCCCTACACTGGTTCCCTCTGCTTTTGTGCACCTCACACCTGCTACCCAGTGAAAACAGCTGCTGGCTCGTTCTGAAGAACAGCAAGGCACTCGGATGGACGTTCCAGACTTTGTGCATGCACAGACAGGATGCAAATCCACCCCCTCCTCACACAGACTTTCCTCAGGGGCAAACAGACCTCAGCAATCTCCTAAGTAAGGATGACTATGGCACAGAGCCTGTCAGCTGGCCTGCAAAGAGCAGCAACAGGGAACAGACCAACTTCCTTACACCTTCAGGCTGGTCACAAGAGTCTTCCTTTTACTTCAGTGCTTTACAGAAGTATTTCTTCCTCCCTGGGAAAGAAATCTTTGCTAGTCATATTGCATGTGTTAAAACCCTTATGGTAAAAGTCAGCAGTCATGTCTGTAGAAACACAGCAGAGAAGAACAACAATAAGAATCCCAAAGCAAACAAAGTCTCCTTGAGAAGCTAAGGGTCAAGTGGAGAATTTAGCAATGATATTCCTGCTCCCACACACAATCGTAAACTTCAGGGATTATCTCCCAAAAAACACACAGACAAAACTGGTACGTAGGTCGCCCTATTCAAGGGAATTGGGCAAAAAATCTGGGCCCAGGCAGGTCGTGGTTTATATGACACATTAAAAATAACAACATTAAAAAGAACAGGAAGGTGGAACGAAGAAGAAATTCAAACCATAAGCTGGCAAGTGGTCCTGGAGCCATCCCAGCAAACACTACTGGCTACAAAGAGCAGAAGGTCCCACCAGGTTGCTGTGTGTTGAGATAGTCTTGCTGCCCCCACTGCGCGCTGCAGGGAGTTTTTCTCCATCTCTGGGAGGAAAAAAGGTCCTTGTACAAAACTGTTTTCCTGCCCTGATTGGCTCAGATGAGCTCCTTCAGGGGCTCGCTGTCCCCAGGCACCGTGCCGTTCAGTGCCGGGGAGGTCTCAGTGCCCAGATATCCCAAGAGGATCTCGCTGCGCCGCCGCGACAGCTGCAGGATGTCTTCTGCCAGGGACTGCACCGTCGTGTACCTCACGTTGTCCAAATCAAACATGTCCTTCAGGTACTGTACTATCTGGTGCTGCAAAAAAGCAACAGGAAGGGTTTACAGCACGGAGGCTTTATCCCCCCTGCCAATACCAGCTGCCTGGACTGCAGCAAGCAGAGAACCCCCCAAGGAATTCTGTATGTCTGCCATACAAGCAAAGATCTGCTGCAGGCTGGGTTTTACTTTTGGGGCTAAATGCCATCGTGCCTCTGGGACAGGACAGCAGAGCTCCTGAAGTCAGGAAAGCAATGCTGATATCCATGGCAATATCCATGCAAACATGCAATGAAGGCAACACAGCCTCTAAGGAGATTATCTACAAGAACAAGAGGATTTCAGCTTTAAGACCAAATACATAACTTGTAAGATCCCACCTACTCCTAGACAAGATACTCTTTCAGCATATGCACCTGTGATCTCTTCTAATATTGATGGTACAAATGGATCTTATCATGCAGATTTGCTATTAGTTATGGTAAATTGTGCTGGCAATTCTAATCAATCTGAATTCAGCAATCTGCATCTAAAAAACAGTGATTTTTAGAAGCTTTTTGTACAGAGCCAAGTTTCTTAATGCCACATCACTCACCACAAGCATCTGCAGCTTGAAGGGAGAAGACAACAGGAGTTCCACACAGATTAAGTACAGAAAAGCCATCTTACCTTGAAAAAACTGCAGACTTCAGATAGCTGCTGCTTGGGCCCCAGAAAACCAAAGGCTAGAACAGGACTGACATGCTCCGATACGGAGTAGAAATGAGAGATAAAACCATCTGGTACCTGCCACAGGGAAGGGAAGAATCGGTTGGTCTTGGTTCTCAGATAGAACAAGCAGTTTATTGTGTATCAGTTAGCACATTCCCTGCCAGAAAGCACCAAGCTTCAGTAACTGAAGTTAAGAGCTACTTAAGAACATCTCTTCCTTCAGTATTACATTTATCTTTGAGATCCCTAGAAGAATGCCTAGAGGTTTCCATCTTTGTGTTTCTAAACTACTATTTCAGGAGGAAAATAAATAGAAGAAAATTAAAGGCAACCACCAGGCAAGTCTTTATAGACTAGTTATAATCTCTGGACGAAGCCAGAAAAAGGCATGCAAATATCCAAGACAGAGCTACTGCATGACAGCACCAATCTACCTTCCAGGGCTCTCACTTCTCTTTGTACCTCCTCAGCAAACCCAGTCGTACCAACTGGTTGTGGGACAGAAGTTGAAAACATGCCAGAGGCCACAGACAGAACTGGGGTTGTGAAGTCGTGGCTTCCTGTTCCCCAGGTCCATGAACTCATTTGCTGTGGTACTTCAGAAAGCCACAGATTTAAGGGAAATGAATCAAGTAAGAGCTCCTCAGCAGTCAGAGCTGGGAAGCAGAGAAGCACACAAGCCCTTCATTGAGATGCCAGCAGGGAAACCACAGCTCAGAAGCAGCCCCTTGTTGCTTGGTGTCTGTGACCATTCCTGCAGCACTGTGAGCAGGGAGAGGGAACACCAGACAGGCAACATTGGCTTTTGAATCCTCACATTAAGAAAATGGGAGAATGATTCAATAAAACACTGGCATGGCACTGCAGCAGTGACAGCAGGACCGTGGTGCTCTAAAGCATCACAAAGAAAGTGATGTTCATAAAGAATGTTCAGTCTTGTACCACACAGATTTTGCATTTTGTCAAGATCTAGGTGTTATATTTTCAGCTTCAAACACATAAGATTCTTCCACTTTGTTTTGCTTACCATCAGAAGCCTCCTTTTTGCTTTCAGCACTGACCAGCAGGCAGTTGCTAGAGCCTAGGATTAATGGAGAGACCATCAGTTACTGGGATTACTTCTCAAAAAGTACCAACCAACACGTCACCATCAAAACACCAAAGCAGTGGCTCCTTTTGTGCCAACAACTCTAAAATTAGTGACAAATTGAAGGATTTAGCCACTCCAGATGTATTCCAGAAAAGCCAAACTGGGTTTGAAGATTGCTAATATGACCTGACATAGTCGCCAAGCACCCCAGAATGCAGACTGTGAGCAGAAAGCAGTTAAAAGGTGCCTTCCAACCATCTTCTTCTCAGTCTATGAAACTAATCAGTCTTATATATTTAGCTGGAGGCCAAGACAAGAGGAAAGTGATTAAAATTGAAGGAATGGAGACTTAGGTGAGACATTAGGAAGAAATTCTTTAGTGTGAGGGTGGTGAGATCCTCACCCAGGTTGCCCAGGGAAGCTGTGGCTGCCCCATCCCTGGAAGTATTCAAGGACAGGTTGGATGGGTCTGTGAGCAACCTGGGCTGGTGGGAGGTGCCCCTACCCATGCAGGGGGCTGGGACTGGATGATCTTTAAGGTCCCTTCCACCCCAAACCAGTCTGTGATTCTATGAAAGTGCCACTATTGGAGCCTCAGTGTCTGCTGAGGTACTACCAGAGCGAACAGCCAGGTGGAAAAAAAACCCACACATTTTATTCCCTACATTTTGATCCTCTTGTTCTCATTCATGAAAATATATTTTGTCATCTTTTAACACCCCCATGGCATCCCTGGTAAAGGCCACTAGAGAAATCAGTGTATTGGAGCCAGCCAGACGCTTTCAAAACAAGGAACACTTCCCTGTAACAATTTACATGTACCAGAAGACAGCTGGTTAGGCCTCCAGGAAAGCATTGGGATTTCTTAAGAGAAATTCCAGCTCAGCCAGGACAACTGAGGTTGTACTCTGCCACTGCCACCTCACACCCAGCACCAGGACTCCCCCTCCAACCCACCGTCTCCTTGAAGCTGTCGGAGAGCCAGCGGTTGCGCAGCACGGCCAGCACGGAGGAGGGAGGGTTCTCCAGATCCTCAAAAGCATCCATCAGGATGAAGTCCAGCACAATATCAAAGAAACTCATGCACACCACCTGCCAGAGAGCAGAACAGTCTGTAAAGAGAACAGGTTTTAAAAAAAATAAAAGATAGAATCTTTACTCTTCAGTCTGAAGCACCAAAATGCAACAGGCTCAACCATGCAATATAATTTAAGCAGCAGCTCTTGCACTCCTGGGCTGTTCCTGCATCTCCATTAATTTCCAATCCCTCTGCAACTTTGTAGAGATAACATCTTTACCAACCCCTCTTCCCTCCAGCTCCAGCTGAGTGGTTGGCCAGGTCTCTTGCTTCAGTGCATAACGTAGCATCTCCTCGTAGCTTTCCAGAAAAGCTTTTGGATTCTAGGGGAGCAGAGAAACAAAACACTTCAGAAGGTACAACAGCTGGGAACACATTTCACCACAGTTTGACTGCTCTGAGCTAACATCAGCATCAATGCATGTGACTGGGTCAAGTTTTTAAACCTCTTTGGTCAGAAAGAGAGCATTTCTTTCTGGGAGGCGCGGATGGCCCAGGCTCAGCTGTGACTCAAAATACCTACAGTGCTCCACTTCCTTCAAGGAACAGAGACATCTGAACACAAAATGAGCCAACTAAGGGACTAACACTGTGCAAGCAACAATCTCCCTGTCCAGGGAATGACCAGAGACTAAGCCAGTGATCTGAGAACTGGTATGTTGTTGAGGCAAACGTTGATTATCTTTTCCCTTTCCCATGTTCCTGGAGATGATGCCATGGCTGATGCACAGGCTGCACCCTCTGCTCCAGTGAGGCACAGCATCAAACTGTGGACAGGAGATGCACAGAGAGGCTCTTTCAATACAATTTGGTTAAATAGATTCAAAGCACATGCTTTTTATTTTTCACAAGAGTCACCAGTACACAAATTAAGTTTTCTTCTTCCAACACACTGGACATACTCTGTGTTGGGATGGAGGAACAAGTGTCTCTGTGCTCAAGACACAGTTAGTTGTTACACCAACTCCCTACCTTTTCAGCCTTTGTCATCAGTCCTATCACCATTTGCTTCCCAACCTCTCCAAAAAACAGTTGATTGCTTTCATCCTCCAGCAGCTCCTGTAAAGGGAACACAAGAAGCCTCCTGTGAGCACCTATGCCCACATAAATACTGAGTTGGGAGAAAAACAGGACAGTGCACACAGCAGCACAGTCCTGCACACACCAGTATCATTAACCTTTAATAAGCTGGAGTCTAGAAAACAAAAGTGCTCTTCTCCAGGAAGCAAGTTTAAAATTAGGCTGAAAGACTGGAAGTGGCCAGGGTGCAAAAGCTGCAGTTCAGGCCCTAGAAAAACATTACCAAGGAAAGGATTGTGCTAAGAAGGAAACCTTGCTCCACCACCTCAGAGGCTTTAACTCCAGCCCAGCTCCAGCTGTGAAATGGGAATACCAGCTGCTGGGCAGCTCTGAAATTCCCTAACTTCCTAGAACTAAATCCAGCACCTGTGGCCATGTAACCTCCACCCAAGCTGGGCACAGGGACCTCTCCCTCTCCAAATCAAATTGGCCAGGATGGGATTACAAGGCTTCACACCTGTATTGGCAGAGGAGAAGATGCTGCTGGCAGCAACATGTCCCAGAAACCCAAGAGCCTCAAGCTGTCCTCACCTGGAAGGCCTGCCTGACACAGTGCAGCTTGGCGAGGAAATCCTGGTCACTGTAGCAGCCAAGGAGCTCTGTCCTAAAGGGAAAAGGGAAGGACAGTGTAAATTCCAACTCTCCTGATTTCTGTGTTCCTACCAGCTATGGTGCCCTAAAAAAAACACCAACAAACTCAATTTCCCAGTCTGTCCCTTTGTTCAGCTCCCTGGGGCACCTCTGCAGAGGCTGTTGCAGCTCAGGACCATGCCAGCCTCACAGAACAGTCACACTGCCCACCCACCCTTTCTTAACATGTTCATCCTAAACTCTGGGGCTAGTTCCCTGGGAAGTCCAAATTAGCAGGAAGGACTTCCAGACTTTCCAACCACAGAGGGTTATTCTGGTTATATTTACAGGGCTGTTCAAAGGCAAGTGATGTGTTCACACTGCTCAAAGGAGCCTCCACACAAGGACCCACAACTTCACCTCAGTGTCCGGCAGGCAACCTTCCCTTCTTTCACCAGCTGCAGAGCTTCTTCATATGCTGCTACTGGCTTAGAGAGGTGGAATGGTATTTCCTCAAAGTGGAGAGAGTCAAAGAGCTGTAGAGGTGGCAAGAGACATGGGAAGAACAAGATGGTCTTGTTAAATACTTGCAAATTCTCAGAGACTGCACACTAGCGAGAAGTGCCTCCTTCAGCCAGCTGATCTGCACAACGTTAATTGTCATTGATAAAAGGTATTTCTTTTTCTACCAGTTTCAAAGCTGCCTCAGCTCTGACACAGCTCAATAACCCCTAAAATTCACACAACCAAGCCCCATTACATTAGATTTGCAGTACTTCCCTAGCTGCTATGGCATGTTTTCTACAGGAGGTAGGAAGAAGATATGGAAATGCTGGTTGTAAAGGACTGCACTATGCCATGTTTTATCACCTTCCTCTACCAAGATGTGTTTGGCTCCACTGCCTTTGTGGCTCCCCTCCAAGCAGCTGGACTGGGACACAAAACTGAAACTTAAGTCACCTCTGCTGCAGAGAAGAAGGAGTCCTCAGAAATGGAGCTGTCTTCATCATCTGTCCGGAGCCGCAAGGATCCATCCGCCAGTGGAAGCATTAAAGTCTTCTCTGGAGGAGAGGAAGAAGCTTCATGTGTTGGAGTTCATGGACTACCACTCCTTTTAGTCTTGTGCTGTCTCTCCCACCCCCACAAACAGCACACAGTCACAGCTTCATTGCCCAGTTTACAGAAAAGCCATAAAACCAGACAGGAAACTGGCATTCCAATGCATTTCTGCCCCAGCTTCCATACCAAGATCCAGCAGGACACTGTCTGATGGAAGTGAAGACCCAAACTCTTCCTGCAGGTGGTAGGCTTGATGCAAGAGGGATTCCAGCTTCTCAGCAAACTCCCTTTTCTGGGACTCCTCCTTGAACACACATGAAAGCCACCCTTAGTTAGCCAGCTGGGCAGAGACAGATTGACAGCACAAATATGGAAGGAAATTTTCAGTGAAATGGGATTTACATTTTTCAGATTAAATGATTTAATTGAAAAAAAAGAGGACTCATTAATCCTACAATGCAGCTAATAATGCCAGGGGTGGAAAGCTTCTACACAGTCTGTTCAAACTCTCTGGCTTTTTAGCTTCCTAATTTTGTTTTCCTCCTAAAAAAAAGGAAGAAAGAACTTAAGAACTTTAACCTGCCATCCAGAAATACAGGTATGTTAATGAGTTACAGATCACTTAATCCTTCCAACTTGTGAATTTAGCCTAATTTCAAGAGAGAATCACATCAGAAAAACCTGTGTTGAATACAACAGAGTATCCAGAACTGGACAACAGAGTAAGAGTCCTTGGATGAGGGTGCTGGTCATAAGCAAAGTTTGCTGTAAGCAGCACAGGGGCTAGGAAAAAAAAATAGAGGGAGAAAAAGAAGCCTTACAAAACATCTTGCCTTCATACCCCTGTGCCTGCATGAGTGTCTCACCCAGAAGACAGAAGCATTAACAAGAAGCATGAAATCTATTTTGATCCTGAAGCAACCATTTTTAAGTAAGTTTCAGAAATACTACAGGATTCTTCACTGAGAGACAAGAGAATCTAGATTTGAATAAATATTATCTAGCACAAAAGATAAATATCCCACATACTTGCTACACCAGGTCCTGTTCATGAGAGTATGGGAACACTTTTTGCCAGTGAGAACCCCTGGTGGGTTGGGAGGTCAGCTCCTTTCACAGTCCTGAGCTACAGCTGTTTGGGTCTCCTCTTATTACAGGTCTTTCCTGCATAGTACTCAAGTCCAAGACAGCAAAGCTGCCCAAAATACTGGTTTCTACAGCAGAAGGTTAAAGGAGTCACACATCTCCCTGCCCCACTGGCTCAGTGAGCTCCTACCAAGTCACCACTTTGCAACTGGCCTCTGCTTCTCGACCCAGCTTCCTCAAAGTGACAGTGACCATCAAGATCTTCACTTTCAAATGCATTTAAAAGTTAACAGACACGACACTGGCAGGCAAAAAGCTCCTTCTCCCTCTCCAGTGCTCTACTGGTTACAGCCTTTTCCTACCACAGCCTCTGCCACTGGAGGACTTGCATGACAGTGATTGACATGATGCTGGAAGGTGGGTAGAAAGGCTGGGGAATGAGGGGGTGAGACTTATTAAAAAGGAAAATAAATTAAAAACACCCACTCACATTACATAAGGAAGCCAGAGATATAGACAGCTCAGTCTGGCCCAGCTCTGCTCTTCATTTGCTCTTCTTTTAACCTCCTGCTAATTACTGCTTCCAGCACCCAAGCTGGCCTTTCAGCACGTTCCCCAGCTGGCAAACACAAGTGAAAAGTAGGGACCTACCTCTGGGATGCTCTCAGACTTGCTCTCTTGCTGTTTCTTGCTGTCCCAGGGCACGGGGGTGCTGGTACTGGCATTGTCTCTCTGCCTGATGGTCAATGCCTGCTCCCACTTCTGCAGGGCCTCCTCAAACAGCTCCATGCCTGGGAACACAACCAAACATAAGCTGTGAGAGTCCCAGGACACGTCAGAACAAAGAGATACAGCACGAGTCTCTGCTCACTGAATCCAGCAAAGGTGGAAGACTCTCCCCAGCTGATAAGAAAGAATACATGTATTCTATTTCTTCCCCTTTTAAACATGGTTTAATTTGGACTAGAAGTTAAGGAGAACACCCTCAGACTGGTTTCATCAGCCATGTTACTTCCAAAATGCTGTTCTCTGCAAAAGGTGAGCCTGTTACTCAAAGAAGTGTATTGGAAGTAAATGATTCACTGAGAATACAGGGAAGTGTTTCTTTAGGAGAAGATGGGAATTTTATAACTGACAAGTGACTGAGTTTAAGAGCTTCCAATCAGAGTTTTACTTGGAGCTGCTCTGTGTCAACTTACACCACCTTTTTCCTGCCACAGCAATAAACAACCCTCCCAGGGCCATGTTGCCCACATGCTTGTTTACCTTGAATGTAGAGGCTTTCTGCACTGGAATCAACAATGGCTCCAGCATCCCCCATTGCCTGGGCCTCCCACACCCCTGCTGGTATTGGACTTGCAGAGTTGACTGCTACCATCTGCAGGGAGGGAGCAGAGAGCAGCAGGTGCCTTTGAATTCTCTCCAAGGGTAAGTCCAATGCTAAGATCACACAAACACCACGACCAGTTGCATTCCAATGATAAACCATTTCCCCACATCTGCCCTTGTGCTTCCCCATATAAGTACTCGCTTGCCTGGGAAGGTATCAAGGATTCCTGTCCTCTCCCACTTGGGTTCATGCTCTGCTGTCAACAGTTGAGAGCAGCACAGAGCTGAAAGGGGAGGCAAGGGGAGAAGTCCTCCCCTTCTCCGCCCAGCACCACAGAAGTGTCTTTGAAAGTGCTGGAAGTTGTGTGAGAAATACCTTCCCAATCAATTTACACTGAAGCTCCATTAGGAAACAGTGAGCTGCATGATAGTGAGCCCTAGCAGGAGAACACTGATGGAGGCAGCAGAATGAGAAAGGTCCAAAGTGATCACCACAAAGATGCAATAATTTTGATAGAAAGTTCACGTCAGCCCCAGCTGGCCAGACAAAAAACACTGGAAATAAGTGGGAGAGCAACCACAGTCCAAAGGAACAGATTATCAGCAAAAACAGACCAGAGGACTTTGGCCAGGGGAGGTCCCTGCTCTTCTCTTTGTAACCAAACCTACTCCTGGGAGGGCTGGGCACTGTGATCCACACAGCAAGTTACCAGCTTTCTCCAACTCCACACCAGTGCATAAATGTCTTTTAAAGCCTGACCCAATAAAATGCTGGGTTCCAACACTACCAATGGCCAGTGTTTTCATACAGCTTAGAGAAAGATGTCCAAATGTCAGCCTGATACAAGAAAAATACAATAATCATCTGACAGATGAATTCTTGCCCTGCCTCCATTGATTAATCTCTGTGGAGCATTAATAAATCACCCTGAGATCCAGAACTACAAATCACTAGTTCCCTGCTGCCAACTTACTTATTAGATGACAAAAGAGAGCCCCAAGAAGCAGAGGAGAGAGCCAGAACTGAAGCTGTGTGAAGGATGAGTTGTTTTCCTATCCAGTAACATGAAAGCAGTGAGTATGGAGCCCCTGACACTCAGCTCCCACACAATGGAGGGGGCACAGGAGCAGATCCCTCTCTGTGTGGATATCCCCACCCAGGCACCAGCCGTGAAAAAAGAAATGTAGACAGGTTTTTTTTAATCTAAAGAGAAATAGACTTCAGTGACACAAAACACAGATAGCATTGGTGGGAAGGGAGAAGCCACAGGGGAATTAAATGGGAGTCCCTGCAGGGGCAAGAGAGGCCAGAGCTAGACACAGCTTGGTCCTCACTGATATGTCGCTTTATATCCCATCATATCCCAGTCATCCCAGTGGAATACCAGTGCAGGGCTGCACACCCAACGCTGTGCCTGCACTGCCGCCTGCTGGAGACACACTTTGGCCAGCACAGGCTCGTGGCAACTTTCCGGTTGCTTGAAGCTCACAGGACAAGCTGAAATACAACCATGCTGGGTAGGGCGCTGCTGGCCGACAGCTCCCTGCCAACGGGGGATTATTTTTCCACCCATCCCCTCCTGCCCCAGCACTGCTAACCAGCCCCCGAGGCTGGGGGTGACACTGAGGGGGGTGTTTGGCACCACGTTGCAGTGCACAGAGCTGCAGAGGTTCCCCGGTGCTGCCCACTGCTCCAACAGCAGCACACGAGGCTTTCAATCGTGGAGATGTAAAACAGGTCTTGGAGCCACAAGTGCTCCCCAGCACTTCTGGGTTTGGTGTCTCAAGAGGTGGATATGAGCAGTGACAGCTCCTCCTGCCTGGTCAAGCCTGAATTACCTGTATTTATAAGCTGCTTTTGGCTTTGGAGGAGGTAGAATGACTAGGTTATGTTCTCAACCTACACTGTTTCCCAAGCAGAGCTATTAGATTTTGGAAGTCAGTTTAGCTTTTAACAACCAAGCAACTTGTGAGCAGCCACAGCACAGGAGGGCTGGGCTGGCACAGGGGCTGCTGGGCCACCCAAACCCCACCATGGTGGGAAACAAACATGCTCCTCATTGTTACAAGACCCACCAAAAACCCTGCCTTGCTGCTGAGGGGGTCATAGAGAGCCCCAAAGAATCACATCCCTCACTAGTGTCCCTCCTGCAGCCCCTCGTTGGCCAAAGCAGTGGGATGTTCCCTGGGACTCTCAGCCTCCAAAAATGCTGCTCTGATTTTACACAGGCAACTCCAGAGTGACTGTGAGGTTAATAACAGAACCCACCCTACAATTGCACTGCAACCTGTTCTGCTCCAAAAGTTTTGGCATTACCCGTTGGTGAGTGTCAGCCCAAGGACTTGGTGATCTTGTTCCAGTGGGTGCACTTATCTCCCAACCCTGATTGTCCCAGCCCAGGTGAGGTCCTTACCGAGGCGAGGCTGTGGGAGGAACTGGAATGTTTGCTGGGCTCAATGGAGGAAATCCCACTGAGTGTGTCATTGCTCTTGCTGCCAGGACTCTGGACTCTCTTGCTCGAGTACCCTGGAGTTGGGAAAGTCAGACAAAAACAGGATTTTAGGCTCAGCTGCAGCTGTGAATACAGAGGGGAACATCAACCTGTCAGGTGTGACTGAGGATGGGAAGAGCAGCATCCAACACTCAGAAATGAGTCACAGATCTCCTGTGTGCTCTGTTTTGCTCTGAGACACTAAGAAAGCTGGTATCAGTGGGGATCTGAGGCTGAGGAATGAGTATTTATTCACTGCTTATGGATGGCAGGAAGCAAGCACAAAGCAGAAGGCATCAAGAAGAACTGCAGCTTCCCTCTGGCCAGGCAGAGCACACACATCACTCCCTTGGTTATTATTAAAAATGCTTAAATATTTTCATATATTTCAGAAAACAAATGCTTAATTGCTAAAGTGCTTTGCTAGCACCTGGGTCAGTCCTACCCCAAAAATCGACATAAGCAAGTGAAAAAGCTGCCCATGGTCCAGGAGCCACCACAGAACTGGACAGACCCTCCCAACCTCACCAACACAGCTGCATGTGGGACGCCAGGGTCAGGACTCATCTTGGCATCACCCAGATCAATATGCAACCAGGTCACCATTGCCCTGGGCTGTTTATATTGGGGAAGCATGGCAAAAGGGGTCCAGGGTCTTTCTGTAGGGAAGGGGGATGGGAACTGCAAATCTTGGTGAAAACCTCAGTGTCACTTTTTCCTCACAAGGGCTTTGAGCTCAGGGTGTAACCCTTTCCTCTGCCCACCCTGCGCTCATGGCACTCTGCTTCAGGCTTCCAATTTCATTCTGCATCAATGCACTATACAAACAGCTTTACTCTCCTGTCCTCCCAGCTCTGAGGAACTTCCCATTGCTCCCTGTACACCCTCTTTTCACAGAATCATTCTTGTTGGAAAGACATTTCACAGAATCACAGAATTGTCAGAGTTGGAAGGGACCTCTAAAGATCATCTCATCCAACTCTGAGGGCTGGAGCACCTCTCCTAATGAGGACAGGCTGAGAGAGTTGGGGCTGTTCAGCCTGGAGAAGAGAAGGCTCCAGGGAGACCTCAGAGCACCTTCCAGTGCCTGAAGGGGCTCCAGGAAAGCTGGGGAGGGACTTTTGACAAGGGCTTGCAATGAGACGACAAGGAGGAATGGATTAAAACTGGAGGTTTAGATTAGACATTAGGAGGAAATGTTTTAGTGGTGAGACACTGGAACAGGTTGCCCAGGGAAGTTGTGGCTGCCCCGTCCCTGGGAGTGTTCAAGGCCAGGTTGGATGGGGCTTGAAGCAACCTGGGATGGTGGGAGGTGTCCCTGCTCATGTAGGTGGTTGGAACTGGATGATCATTAAGGTCTCTTCCAACCCAAAACAGTCTGGGATTCTGTGAACTCCCCTGCGAAAACAGGATCCCCTGGACCACATTCCACAGGGCTGCACCCAGGCAGGTTTTGAACACCTCCAGAGAAGGGGACTCCACAACCTCCCTGAGCAGTCTGTCCCAGGGCTTTGTCACCCTCATAATAAGTTTTTTCCTCATATTTCAATGACACTTCCCATGTTCCAGCTTGTGCCCATTGCCCCTCATCCTGTCACTGGGAACTCCTGAACAGAGTCTGGCTCATCCTCCCTGCACCCACACGTTAGATACTTCAGGCCTTGAAGATCATTGGGTCCAACCGCGACCTAACTCTCCCAACCATTAACCAAACTCTGCCAAGCCCATTCTTCATCACAAAAAACCTTTTATAGAGTTTTCCCTTTTCCCAAGGCCAACCTTTCTTCACGGAGGAGACCCTTCTGGTTGGCAAGATGGGCACTGTGATCCCTCCAGGCTTAAACCCACACTTGTCCGGCGCGATCTGCTTCTTCCGCCGCCGCCGCCGCTTCAGCTGATGAGCTGCGAGAGCCAAGGCAACTGTCCCCACAGCTGTAGCAAACAGCACCTTACGTAGGCCTGGAGAGAGCCTCAGCTGAGAGAAGACAGACTTTAAACACAAAAGATAGGAAAAAGCAACAGTCAAAACCCCTTTTTTTCCTTTTTTAAGCAGTCTTACACAGACGACACCCCGGCGTTTCCCCCGCCCGCCCACACGACGCAGCCCCTGCCACGCAATGAAAAGAAACTGCAGAGCATCATTTTGACAGGGTCTGGGGAATGTGGTCTCTATTCTCATCACCGAAACACACCGTAGCAAAGTGCAACCCAGGTTACTCAGAGTCAGTTGTTAAACCCTGGTGTGTATCTGAGCTTTATTGCCCCAAGTGTCGCGTTACTGCAGGAGGGAAATGTATTCATCGTCTTTAACACAGAAGTTCTTTGAAGAAGAGAAAGGTTGAGTCTAGGTGTTCTGGGGAGGGATGTGGAGAGCCCTTCTCTCTCCTCTCCTGACTCCAAGCCCACCCTGAACAGCTCTTTCCCACCACCACAAACTCTCCATGCAATTCTTAAAAACCCTGAAGCTGCCCAGGTCCCACCAGCATCACCCTCTCATGCTTCTGTCCCTCACAGCTAACACAGCCTCTTCTCTCTCTGCAGACAACCTCCAAAGAGAAAACCCAGGGAACAAGACAGAAAAGCCTTTTCTGCATGTTGTACCTGCCCAAATGTTGTGTAAACAAACACGGGGATCTCTGCCACAGTCATTGCCAAGGCCTGGATGATGGACATTCCCTCTGTCCTTCTAAACGCCATGGCTGAGCAAGGATCTCAGCACCTCCAGGAACAACCAAGGGGAAGGACACTTGTGGATGCTGCACCAGCTAGCTGCTCACAAAGACATCCAGCTTTTCATCTGGCTCAGAGTCCTGGGATCAGCCTTCAGAATCCAGCAGTCCTCCTCCTGCAGGAAGAGGAGAAAAAATCAGGTGAGTGAAGGGAACACACAACCTGTACCTTCTTATACTGCACTTCACAGCCCACACACCAGGTCACTTGGCATTGCAATGCCACTACAGGCAAGCAAGAGATATAAAGCATCTTCTCACCAACAGCAACAATTATTTTTCATGTCCTACTAACCACGGGGGCAGATTCCCAGACTGCTGCCCAGCAGCTGCACCCTTGGACTCAACAGCTGCCGGACATTTTTACATGCACCAGAACTGGCTGCACGTGGTTGGAAGGATTTTGTTTGCAGCCCCAATATATATATATGAAAAGATAATTATCATAAATAACCATATCTGTGTTTTCATTGTCAAAACTCTGCTTTTGTACAGTTTTCTGTGCAACCAAAGGGTGTCTCACCCAGGAGGTTTCAACGCTGCTTGAGTTTGCTCAGAGCTTTGCTGGAAGCTGGGGAGGAGGGAAGTGCTTCATGTCAAGGACAGAGCTACAGAAGAATGTATTGAAACCAAGGAAGGGGGTTGTCTTTTAAACACCACAAAGATATAAACCCTTTGGCCCTGCTCCCTGGCAGCCAGCAACCCTGCCACAGCAAGGGGACACAGCTCTTACCCAACGCGTGGCCACGCTGGGCTCTGGTGTCTCCCCACACTGACAGGAACAACACACCCAGGGTGTTACAGCCCCACGAGGGGGGCCTGACCCCACGGCTAAAGGCCACCTCACCCCCAGGCCCCTGGGTTGGCCTGATCCCATCTGGAACCGGCCTCAAGGTGACTGGAGCCCACAGGGACCAGACAC